AAAACCCCCCCCCCCCCCCCAAACAGTAAATGTTTTCACATTTTGTAATTGTTTTGTGTGAGCCCCTCAATTGACCTCAGAGTGAAAAGATGGATCTCAAAAATATTCAGTCACTGCTGGAAAGCAGTCAAACATGCAGAAGATGCTGGAAAACCAAAGTATGTGCAGGAGCTGGAGGATTTTTCAGAAGAACAGCAGGCAGTTTAACTGTTCAGGACAAAAAAAGGGACTCATGAGCAACTATCACAAAACATAAAAACAGTCGTGGATCATCCAGGAAATGACACACAGTATTGAGATTTAAGGGTATGTAAACTTTTGAACGGGGCCATTTTTATAAATTCAGTTATTATTTTGTCTTGTGGAGTATATATAAATATCTGTTATGTTAAATAGCTTATTCAAGACAGTACTAAATAAAAAATAACATGCAATTTTCATGATCCCTCTTATTTTGTGAAAATTATATAACATTTTGCATATTCTGCAAACTTATGTGCACAACTGTAAATAGAATAAATAGGCTGTTTTGGGTCCGTTTTTTTCTTTTTAAGAAATGATTACTTTTATTCAGCATTAAATTGATCAAAAGTGACAGTACAAATGAAACTGATCAAAAGTGGACAGTACAAATTTATAATGTAACAAAAGATTTCTATTTGAAATAAATGCTGTTCTTTTGAACTTTCTTTTCATCAAAGAATCCTGAAAAAACAGCCTATAGTTGTGATGTCAGTAGTGTGATGGTTTCTGATTGGACCATTTTTGCTGCATAGATGGTCAAGGGAGACTGGGGAGGGAGTTTTTGAAAGTTTAAGTAGACCTATATTACATATTATATTGAACTGGCTAATTCTAATAGAGCAATACAAATCCTTTTCTAAATTATTTTCTCAAGGCATGTCTGAATTAAATATTTGGTTGTTTTAAATAATAAAAATAGCATCCGATAAAGTGGTCGCAAAAAGTTTATATTTTAATTTAAAAATATATATATACATTTGTAGAATGAAATAAGTGCTGTAATCATTAAATATTCACTTGGGTATCTTTAAAGCTTTCTAATTTTGTTCTTGATCATTAGACATGCCCTGGAAGCCTGAAAGCTGTTACCTTTGGAGGCACCGTCAACCAAAAACACAGCCTGTTCAGTTACTGACTGACTGGACAGCTGCCTTTAGTTTCAGACGCAGCTACGGTTACACATCACACTTTATTCATCACACACACACACACACACACACACACACACACACACACACAAAAACACACACACACAC